AGAAAAGTTCTAAAAAGGCAACTATTTACATAGCATTTATGTTTATTAGGTATTATAAGTACTCTAGAGATGATTTAAAGTATATGGGGGGATGTGCAGAGGTTATATGCAAATACTATGCCCTTTTACCTATGGGACTAGAGCATCCATGGATTTTGGTATCCTTGCGGGGTCCTGCAACCAATTCCCTGCAGATACCGACAGATAACTGTATTTATTTTTGCCTTCATACTTTTCTGAATTTTTTTTTTAAGACACTCTATGTTTATATATAGGTTTTCCTCACTGGTTACTCTGGTTTCGTATACACTATTTTCTCCATGTAAACACCCTCCCCTCTTCTCTTTACCATTTCCATGTTGTCCTCTACCTCAAACTTAGGAGGAACCTCACTTTCACTAAGATGCTTTGTTTATACCCACTCTGCTGAGAGCCTATGCTGTGCTCAGCGCAGACGTTAGTAGGTGAGTGAGACCCAGGCCGCCCTGTCACAGGTGAGCACTGCTTACACTGCCCACGAATGCACCTCGCACCACTCGGGCCCACGCTCACTCCTGCAAGCCGTACCACAGGCTCCCAGGAGGCCAGGGCCAGGATTCCTTGCCTTGGGAGGAAGGCGGCCATGTCCAGAATTTGTTCTTGCCCTTTCTGACGTCCACCTGTAGGCATTCTTAGGGCACTGCCGAGTACCTGGTGGTGGCACCAGCACCGGGGGAGGGTCGGACAGGGCGCACCACTGCTCACCTCTCGCACCCAAGGATGGCATTATTCAAATCCTCATTCACTTGAATCAGCTCAACAGTGACATCCTCATTCTCCACCACCACCAGCAGGTCCATGATCCTCTCCTGCATCTCCCGACCAGTCTTATAAAGTTTCTGTCAAAGAGAGGAGAGACATTTCTTCTTCCATGCTAGAAATGTAACTGATTTGCCAATGTGACTACTACTGTGACCACCTCCACACTGAGTCACCTATGGGCAATTACCAAAGTGTTTCACTATGGACACGAGACAGGAGGGAAGGGGGCAGGGCACAGCGATTCAAGGAATGATGCGGCAATTAACACCAAAACGGTGGAAGATTCCACTCCCAGTAGACCTTGAGGATTAAGATGGAGGGAGGCTTGACTTCCAGTAGACCTTGAGCTTCATTATACGCTCACTGTAATATATGAGCGTGTTAAATAACATGCCTACAGGCACCATGACAGTTCCAAGGTAACCATAAAAGGTCAAAGAGTGGGCGGTGGCCCAATTCCTAAGAATCCCAGCCTCTTCCCCAGGGTACCTGAAATGGTCCTCTCACTTTTTAGCAGATGAAGCCACCGAGCCCATTAAAAAAAAGCACCACCACCTCGCGGCCACCTCTCTTACTCCCTCCTCCTGGAGACAGCCCACACTCTGTCTATGGAGTGTGTACCTACTTCTACTTTAACCTGAGCACCCAACCCCCACACCTCATGGTCTTTCTCTTGCCTTTTATAACAGCCTATGCAGTATGTATCTCTCTAAATAAATCTACCTTTACTCAACCGTGGCTCGCACTTGAATTCTTTCCTGCTCGAAGCCAAGGACCCACACTTGGTGGGGCACATCCCAAGGGCTCAGCCGAGACCTGGCACATGGCCCTCCTCACGCCCCACATCCGTTTTTCCTGCATCAGACAACTTCTCCTGCCTCTATCAGAAGGAAATCAGACTGATATGTTCCTCTGACAGTCAAAGCAGGCATGATAAGGCACACTGCACGTAACACTGGACTAGAACTTAGAAGTGGTGGACAGAAATCCTACACTGCTTATTAGCTGTGCCACGTTAGGGGGAACAAAAATCAAGGTTTTCCAACTCTCAGCTTACTCACTTGATAAGTGAAAAATATACTACTCACCACATCTACCTCAAGGGGTGACATAAAAATCAAATGAGATGTGTGTAGTGAGGAACTCTATAAAGCACCACATAAAACATAAAATGCTACTGTTGCTATCTGTGGTAATGGAAGAAAGTAGTAGTTAAAATGCATTTATAGCAGCATAATTTTCCTATTATGTTTTACTTAAACATGTAAAGTTTATAGTTACAACATCACATTCCAAGGTAAACTGAACCATTAAAAAACCAGTTATCCATACCCTCCTTATTTGGACTGCCTAACACCACTGTATTCCAGAAGACTCCACTCCCCACAAAAAAAGACCATCTTTTTCTCGTAAGCATCAGAGGTGCCTACAGCAGACTTACTCATTCAGAATCGCTAAGGCTGAGAGTTTGGGAATTCACATTTTCTAACAAGCATCTCAGAGTGTTTCTTATGTGCACTGACGTTTGAAAACTGCTACCTTAACAACTTACTTTCTCCTAGGCAAACTTCCAATAAACCTGAGGGGCATAAAACTGGTATCAATATTCCTTCAAACCCCCCCTTGGCGAGGATTTGTCCATGCAATAGTACATTGACAGGCAAAAACACAAGGAAGTTCCCTTTTCAAAATAACAGCAGCAGAACTTGCTAATTCACAGCACTATTACATCACCTGATCTTCCCCCTCAAGAAAGACAGACCTGCTGAAAAACGTATGCTTCACAGAACGATTAAGAATCTCAATCAATCAATCTACTGCAAGACTTCCTACAGGAAATCTCCAGATAAATAAATCTAACCATCACTAGACTGGCATTTACACTCAGAGGTAAAGGCCAAAACACCCCCACAAAATCTTAACAAAAATATTCAGAAGACAGAAACAAAGAAAAAGGAAAAAAAAAAAGTGAGACAGACAGATGAGACTCTGGGTTTTTATACTCGCACTGTGCAACCAGAAGACCTGTCCTGGTTCCTAACATGTGGTCACTGTCAGCAGTGGTTGACAAACTTTTTCTTAAAAGTCCAGATGTTAAATATTTTCTGCTTTGTGGGCTGCAATGGTCCCTGTGGCAACTACCCAACTCTGCCACTGCAACAGGAAAGCAACCACAGACGGTATGTGAACCAATGGGTGTGGCCATATCCTAATAAAACAAAGTCAAGGGGTGACTAACTCTGGCTCACTTAACGGCCCCTGGTCCAGCACAAAAAGAGAACAGACTTTAGACTCTGTAGACCAAAGGCATCTCCCATACACGTATCTGATACGGGATCTGGTTGAAATTTTAGCTTCAGCTTATGTGTTCATCTATAAAACATGGATAACAACCACCTTGCAGGACTGTTGTAAGAACAGAAAATGATGTAGCTGAAGCCCCAGCAGGCAGGCAGCGGGTGTATTATGGGTGCTAAGGAGGCATCACCAGAAGCGTAGCTGACCAAGTAACATATTTCTATAACATTTGCGCCATCACCTAGGGCCCAATATTAACCAAAGGAAAAAACTAAGAGCAGCATTTGTTAAAATCTCCATGATGAACGAGAACTCTGCCTTTGTTGTTACGTCCTGAGTGTGCAGAACTGTTCTCCTTCTTGCTCACTGGCTGCCTTGCGAGAACAATGTTGAGATCAAGGAAATACGATGGCTGTTAGATGTCTGTGACAAATGTAGAAATTAATTTGAAATGAATTTGCAGCCAACACCAACAGCCCTCCGGTCACATGAAGACCGCTGCTCTGCTCTCTCAAGAGACAGATGGAAAGGGAACATGAAAGCAGGCCCATATTTCTCAGCAGGTTTGCCAAGCAGAATCTGAAAAACCTCTTCAAAAGCCAGCCCACTCTGATCTCTGCAGCTGATGTCTGTCTCCAAGGAGGGCCCGGCCACCTGGGAACAGCACAGATTAAGCACCACGAACCAAAAGGATGGGTCAGAAGTTCCCCACAGCAGACACCTGCAGGACTGTGGACGTGGGGAGCCGGGGGGAGCAGTCAGAACACAGAGGAACAGCTGTGGGCACACATGCCCATCACGGAGCCCCCAGAATCACCTCCCTTTACACTATATCAAAGCAAAGGGAGGCTTTGAGGTTAAAGTGAATTTAATAATCAATTCAAAACTCTCTGGAGCAAAACACAAAAGAGCTCATTAAGAGCTTACTCTTCTGACATCCAGATGGCTCCCACTCTCTCCAGAGCACGCAGGTATCAAGGAAGAAGATTCTTGCACAATTTCAACTCCAACTGCAATTGTCTGACATTCCCCAACACAGGGCAACCCAATAAAAAGAAAAAATACCTGAACATATGCCTTGTAAAAGGAATAAAAGAAGAAATGTTTCTGTGTTTGACAGCCTTCTCTGGAAATACTGTCTGTCTGGCACTACTCCCGTTACACATTTCCTCTCCCCCAAGACCTCCCATCCTGACAGCAAGAGACCCCGAGAACATCCCTATCCACTCAAAATCAAAACTGCCCCCACTCACCCTAAAACCGAACTTTTCTCAGCATCACATGCTCTTACAGTCTTATTCCTTTGACAGGCCTCAGTTGAATGAACGATAAATTAACTGTTAACACGATCCTCCAGAAATTCATTAACTTATTAGCCCCTTTCCAACTCTTTTTCCCAACTAAATATTGTCAACATCTTCAATAACTTCTTAGTCCTTCCTTTAGTGCTAAATCATTAATTCTTCAAAAGAAAATCGGTCTTTTCAATTTAACAGACATTTAATGAGCTCACTCAGTGTATAAACCATCTACTCTACATATGCAGAGTTGTGGGGAGTTACAAGCAGAGGTCTTGGCTACTGCCTTTAGCCAGCTTCCAGCCTAGCTAGGGAGCTAATACACACCCACACGGAAAGACGATGGTTCGCCACCTATGCTAGGCAGGCAGTCAGTCCTGGGTTCAAAACGAGAAATGAATGCTGTACTGGCTAGAACACGGCCTCAGGAGGACAAGGCTTCACTCTGCCCCATCAATCGCTCGCCACTAGGGGGACAAATCATCCCCTTTCTGAAGCAGCAGCCTCATCCATAAAGGAAGGGAGATGGTCTCAGTGGCACTGAAAGTCTCTTCCACTCCTAACACCTTACCTGTCTCTGAACGGGAAAGACAGTAAGAGTGGTCAGGGCAGGATGACTTTCTATTTTACCCTCAGGATTTTTTCTCAGCTGGTTATCAATTATTCTCACAGGATCAAATTTTAGATTCACGTGATTTCAAATTCCTCAAATAAATTAAGAGTAAGGCCTTTTCTAGTTGTGCTTTCAAAATCCGAGTTCACTTTATTCTATGTAAGACTAAAACATTCTCTTATCCCACGGTCCTGTTGGGTCTAGGCAAAAACAAGACAAGACTGAAGTGGGAGGTACTAGGGAAAGTCAGTGGTTGAGAGCCAAGTGCACAATGCCCAGCAAGCAAATGAGAGAACGTGCAGCCGACATTCCACTCCTGTGACCAGAGCAGATCCTTTCAACTCACTGCAACGCTCATTAGACTGGATGCAGCCTGAGAATCCTTGTCCTCCACTCTGGCAAACTAAAAGAAATCCGGTCTCTGCCCTTAATGAAGTTCAAAGTCCAGGAGCAATAACATAGTGGTGGGGAAAGGCAAAACTGTTTTACTGCCTGAGAGTCTAACAAAGAGCAGGAGCCCGTGAATTTAGCAGGGCTTCAGAATCTAACTGTACAGCATGGACTGGAGGAATGGATCCTGGATTTCAGACGGAAGGAAACAGACAGGGAAATAAACAGAACATTGCAAATAAACAGAACAGCTGCTGGGAGATACGTGCCAACAGACGAAACAAGAAGTAATTCCAAGTACAGGGGCTGCTTTTAAAGTTAACAAATTTGCATATGAGACGCTGATCACTGGTTAAAGTACACGTACAAGAAGAGCCAAGAAATTTTTGAGTGGAGGCTTTTCCTAAGGGCTGGACACCTTCCTTTTGCCTTCCTGATTCACCCTACACACTCTCTGGCCTGCTCTGTGCCCTGGGCG